CAGAACGTTGGATGAAACTCTTGCCACATTCAGGACATTGATATGGTTTCTCACCAAGGTGGGTACGTTGATGAGTGATGAGGTTGGAGGAGACGCTGAAACATTTCCCGCATTCACCGCAACGATACGGTTTCTCCCCCGTGTGCATCCGTCGATGGATGGTCAGATCTGACTTCTGGATGAAACCTTTGCCACAATCTCCACACGCGTATGGTTTCTCACCCGTGTGAATCCTTCGATGTTTCACCAACGCTGAACGTTGACCAAAACCTTTCCCACATTCTCCACATTTATATGGTTTCTCTGGTGGTATCACCGATAACGTTTCACCATCACCTACATCTGATTCTCTTCCACAATCAAGACATTGTTGACCACGTTGACGTAATCCCATCGTACCACCACGGTTCTTACCACAATCTGGACATTTAGGTGGTTGACCAACGGTTCCTCCAACACCGTGAGAACGTTGATGTTTAAGCAACGCAGCTCCTTGACCAAAACATCGACCACATTGAGAGCATTGGAAGAGGCGACCATGACGGTGAGCGGCCAAGAAGCCAGCTAGATGTTCAGGACAACGATAGGACGCCCGTTCGGCCACGTGGATCTTCTGATGTCGATCAAGGTGGGAACTGACACTGAAGCTCTTACCACATTCAGCACAGGTATAAGGTCGTTCACCGGTGTGGACACGTTGATGTCTTTCTAGATCAGAACGTTGGATGAAACCTTTCCCACAATCACCACAAGCAAATGGTCTTTCACCAGTATGGATCCTTCGATGTTGGGTGAGGTTGGAACCACGACTGAAGCTCTTCCCACAATCACCACAACGATGAGGTCTTTCACCGCTGTGCGTCTTCCGATGTTTAACCAAAGCTGAACGTTGAGTGAAACTCTTCCCACATTCAGGACAACGATGAGAAGTAGATGATGATGATGATGATGATGAACCTTCAGATGTTGATGATGGTTTGGAACGTGTACGAGATTGACTTGGTGGACCTGGTCCACCGGTATGAGTACGCCGATGTCTATCGAGATGAGAACTCACGCTGAATCGTTTCCCGCAATCACCGCATGGATACGGCCGTTCACCGGTGTGGACACGTCGATGTCTCTCCAGATCTGAACGTTGGATGAAACCTTTCCCACAATCACCACAACGATGAGGACGTTCACCCGTGTGGATCCTTCGATGTTGGGCGAGGTTGGAACCACGACTGAAACCTTTCCCGCAATCACCACAGCGGTGGAGTTTTTCTCCACCACGTTCTGGTTGGCGGGTGGATGGTCGACATCTCCTCCCGCATTGGGTACAACGGCGAGATCTTAGGAAGTTTTGAGATCGATTGTCCATCCCGCATTCGGTGCAACCACCTCGAGATGCTGGTGATGTCACATTGACCTTCTTCCCTCCGTTGCCTTTAGTGGTGATGAGGGATTCACTTGTCTTCTCTTCGGTTTGATGTTGATCAACATCTTCTGGTGTCATCTCCTCATCATCTCGTGGTGTTGAGTCTTCTTCTGTCCCGCTCCCGGCACCGCCACCTGCACCGTGGGAAGAAACCATGAGTCCTTCTGGCACAACAACCCCCACAGATTAATTTTGAGATCTCCAAGGTGGGAAACACGTCATCTACGTGGACTTCTAGAAGGTCTTTGAGATGTTCTCCCACAACGTCCTTCTCTCTAAGTTGGATAGAGTTAATGGGTGGACCATTGGGTGGATGGTGGCATCTAGAGTCATGGTCAACACCTCCATGTCTAGATGGAGACCAGTGAGGAGTTGTGTCCCTCAGGGGTCCATACTGGGACCAGTACTGTTCCAGAATGCCACCATCATCCCTTTAAGATGGTCCTCCACAACGTCCTCCTCTCTCAATCAGATGGAGTTGATGGATGGAGCACTGGGTGGATGGTGGCATCTAGAGAGTCTTGTCTAACAGCTCCATGTCCAGATGGAGACCAGTGAGGAGTGGTGTCCCTCAGAGGTCCATACTGGGACCAGTACTGCTCCAGATCTTCATCAGTGCCACCATCCTCCCTTTGAGATGGTTCTCCCACAACGTCCTCTCTCTAAGTTGGATGGAGTTGATGGATGGACCATTGGGTGGATGGTGGCATCTAGAGAGTCACGGTCAACAGCTCCACGTCCAGATGGAGACCAGTGAGGAGTGGTGTCCCTCAGAGGTCCACATTGGGACCAGTACTGCTCCAGATCTCCATCAACCACATAGATGGTGGAATCAAGGGCACCCTCAGCAAGTTTGGGGGTGACCTCAAGCTGAGTGGGGTGGTTGATACTCTAGAGGGACAGGAACCATCCAGAGGGACCTTGAGAGGTTGGAGAGGTGGGTCCAGGTGAACCTCATGACATGGACCTGTTGGAGCAGGTCCAGAGGAGGCCACGGAGATGATCAGAGGGATGGGGACAGCTCTGCTATGAGGACAGGCTGAGAGAGTTGGGGTTGGGCAGCCTGGAGAAGACTCCAGGTTAGACCTGGACTAGAGGAGATCTAAGGAAGACATTTTTGAAGCTGAGGGTGGTGAGACACTGGACCAGGTTGCCCAGAGAGGTTGGAGATGCCCCATCCCTGGAAACATCCAAGGTCAGGTTGGACAGGGCTCTGAGCAACCTGACGTGGTTGGAGATGTCCCTGCTCATGGAGTAGGTGACCATCAAAGGTCCCTTCCAACCCAAACCCTTCTCTGATGCCATGGACAGGGCTTTGACCAACCTGATCTGGTTGGAGATGTCCCTGTTCATGGAGCAGGTGACCTTCAAAGGGGCTCTGAGCAACCTGACCCCCTTGGAGATATTCATACTCATGGACTAGATGGTCTTCAAAGGTCTCTTCCAACCCAAACCCTTCTCTTATGCTCTGGATGGGACTTTGAGCAACCTGATGTGGTTGGAGATGTCCCTGCTCATGGAGTAGATGGTCTTCAAAGGTTCCTTCCAACCTAAACCCTTCTCTGATGCTATGGACAGGGCTTTGACCAACCTGATCTGGTTGGAGATGTCCCTGCTCATGGAGTAGATGGTCTTCAAAGGTCTCTTCCAACCCAAACCCTTCTCTTATGCTCTGGATGGGACTTGAAATTTTCTACATTTTATTAACTCCTTGCAATACCTGTAGATTGTCCCTTACAATTGTTAGGTGCAGTATAAACATTGAATTAAATGATATTTTATGAACTGAGTAAGTAAAAGCAGTTTGCTTTTATTTTCAGCTCAGACCATGGATGGGTACTTTTGGGTGGCTTTTGAACACCTGGGAGTGGTGTGACTGTTCACAGAGCAAAAGTTTGGAGATGTCACAGCTCATGGAGAAGGAGACTTTCAAAGGGGCTCTGAGCAACATGACATGCTTGGAGATATTCATACTCATGGACTAGATGGTCTTCAAAGGTCCCTTCTAACCCAAACCCTTCTCTGATGCCATGGACAAAGCTCTAAGTGACCTGATCTGGCTGGAGATGTCTCTGCTGATGGAGTAGATGTTCCTCATTTGACCAACCTGATCTGGTTGGAGATGTCCCAGCTCATGGAGAAGGTGACTTTCAAAGGGGCTCTGAGCAACCTGACATGCTTGGAGATATTCATACTCATGGACTAGATGGTCTTCAAAGGTCCCTTCTAACCCAAACCCTTCTCTGATGCCATGGACAAAGCTCTAAGTGACCTGATCTGGCTGGAGATGTCTCTGCTGATGGAGTAGATGTTCCTCAAAGGTCCTTTCCAACCTAAACCATTCCATGATCCTACAAAAAAAACATCTCCCAGAAGCACCAAACCCCCAAACCTGCCCCCACCCCATGTCCCATGAGATGACCCCAAAATGGAAGAGTCTTGGAGATGGTTTTTGAGGGATCTTAGGTGGGTTCCTCACAAATTTACCTCCATCTTTAGGTGTTTTCTTGCGATTCCGACGTTTCCCACCTTGTCCCTGTTCCCTCACCAGTTCCCTCAGCATCTTCTCCACTTGGGTCCTCCCGGCTGTTTGAAGGATCAAACCCAACTGTCGACGTAAATCGGGGTTCACCCCCCCATCGCTGGAACCGGCCCCCACTGAAGGTTGGATCTGGGTGGGTTCTGGTTGACCTTGTTCTCCTTCTGCTTCCACACCTGGAGAAAAAACCCCAAAAAACATTTAGAGCCCAAAAAAACCTCAAGAATTCAACCAAATTTGGAGGTTCTCCAAAAATTTGAAGAGATTCACCCCAAATTTGAAGGTTCTCCAAAAATTTGAAGAGATTCACCCCAAATTCTAAGAGATTCACCCCAAATTTCCCCAAAATTTTAAGGAATTCACTCAAATCTGGGGCCCCCCTAAAAATTACGGGATTTACCCAATTTTGGGGTGTCCCCAAAAACTTGGAAATCTACAAATTCAGAAGTTCTCCAAAAATTAAGAAATTCACCAATTTTTTGAGGGGGTTCCCAAAAACTTCAGAAATTCACTCAAATTTCCCATAAAATTAAGAAATTCATCCAATTTCAAGGAAATTTCCCCAAAACTTAAGAAATTCACCCAAATTCCATGGGGGTCCCCAAAAATCTACGAGTTTTAATCAGTTTTGGGGTGTCCCCAAAAACTTGGAAATCTCCAAATTTGGAAGTTCTCCAAAAATTAAGAAATTCAATAATTTTTTAAGGGGGTTCCCAAAAACTTCAGAAATTCACTCAAATTTGAGGGAGGGGGTCCCCCAAAATTTCAGGACTTCACCTTATTTTTGGAGATACCCCAAAACCTAAAAAATTCACCCCAACTTTGAAGATTCATCCAAATTTCTGAAATTCACCCCAAAACTTCACCAAAAATCCTCAAAACTTCAAAAAATTTCCAAGAATCCCCCCAAATTTTTAGGAATTCACCTCAATTTTGAGGGGTTCTCCCATGTGAACCCCAAAACTTACCCGACACCAACCCTCGTCTCCGGTGGGATTCGGCGAAGGCGGTGATCCGCGGCCAACTGATGGCAATCTCTTCCGCTGCCGAGGAGAAGGTTGGTCTTCAAAGAAGCCCAGGTGACCCCAGTGATGGGCTCCATCACCCCAAACCCCCCCACTC